ATGGGTGGATAGACAAGTAGATGAATGACTGAGTGGGTAGATGGATGGATGAGTCAGTGGGTGGGTGGGTGGGTGGGTGAGTAGGTAGGTAGATGGATGGATAGATGAGTGGATGGATGGATGGATGGATGGATGGATGGATAGATGAGTGGATGGATGGATGGATGGTGGATGGATGGTGAATGGATGGGTGATAGATGGATGATGGGTAGATGGTTGGTAGATGGATGGGTAAGTAGATAGATGGATGTTAGATGAGTGGATGGATGGATGGTAAATGGATGGTGGATGGATGGGTGGTAGATGGATGGTGGATGGATGATGGATGGATGGTAGATGGATGAGTGGTAGATGAATGTGGATGGATGGTTGGTAGATGAATGGGTGAGTAAGTAGATAGATGGATGGATAGATGAGTGGATGGATGGATGGTAAATGAATGGGTGGTAGATGGATGGTGGGTAGATGGTATATGGATGGGTGGTAGATGGATGATGGATGGATGGGTGGTGGATGGTGGTGGATGGTGGTGGATGGTGGTGGATGGATGGGTGGTAGATGGATGGTGGATGGATGGTGGATGGATGAGTGGTAGATGGATGGTGGATGGATGGTGGATGGATGGGTGAGTAGGTAGATAGATGGATGGATAGATGAGTAGATGGATGGATAGATGGATGGATGGATGGTAGATGGGTGGATTAATGGATGGTGGATGGATGGGTGAGTAGGTAGATAGATGGATGGATAGATGAGTGGATGGATGGGTGGTAGATGGATGGTGGATGGACGGGTGGTAGATGAATGGTGGGTGGATGGAAGGAGAGTGGTCAGATGGAGGGATGAAAGGATGGATAGGGGAGGAGACTAGCAGAACACTAGAGATGCTGCAGGGCCTGGCTCAGGGCAAGTGTGGGCAGAGGCATTTGATTTCAGAATGACTTTCCTGCCTCTGAGAGAATCGCTGCCCTTTACAAAGAGCTATTGTTCGCAGTGGCCACAGAAGCACCCCTTTCTGTAAGTCACAGGAAAGCAGAGCTGGCCTCTGGGCGCTGCCTCTGCGGGGAGCGACCCCATCCTTTCTACTGAAGTCAGCCTTGTTTCCCTGAGAGTGACCTGAGAGCTGAAACGATGCGCACCCAGCCACGGCCGCCACGGCATCTGGCGGCTGTCGCGTTGCTGTCCTGCAGCATTTGGAGGTCGGAGGGATCCCATAAAGCCCTCATCATTAGAAAATAGAACGGGGGGGGAGGGGAGGTGTCACTGAGTTGCTCTGGGCAGGTGGGGTCTTCAAAGCCGACATCACAAAGCACCACCCTTGGAGACCCGCTCTCCTCCCCTCTCCCTGGCACTGGCCGCACTGAGCCAGAAGCTAAGTCCCCACCACTGTGCCACTCTGCCGTACGGCCCCCTGGGAGCGGCTCTCACTGAGGACAGAGCACACTTCACAGGAAGCCAACCCCCACATCAGTCAGGAGGCCCGCACTCCCCCATCTACCCCCGCCCCCAAGAACGACAACCTCCGGGAGAAGGGCTTCCTACAGACCGGTCCAGGGCTCCCCAGGCCACAGGAGGGGAGAGCGGGGGCTGGGTCCGTTCCAGCAGGGCAAAACGGATGGCCCCTGTGGAACCCCACTCTCAGGGAAGATGAGAGAGTGGGGGGTCACATGGGCAGAGTGCAAAGCCCAGCACCCCACCTAGCATAGTGGTCCAGGTACCCAGAATTCCTGTGCCTCGGTTTCCCCAACACAAACAGGATAATAATGGCCATTGGCACAGAATAACCAGGAAGCCCTCCTCTCCGCTGGTCCCTGCAGTCCCAGGGGAAGCCATCAGCTCTCACAATCCCCATCTGCCAGTGGACAAAGGTCCTTCCAGCAGGGCCTGGCGCTAATGACAGACAAAGGCTGTGCCCGAGGGCGTGGAAGGCCATATCCCACAACAAAGGACAGGGAAGAGGAGAGATATGAAAAGCAGCTCTGCCCACTCCCCTGCCCACTGCGAGGCAACTTGAGAGCCGCACTGGCGGCAGCCGGGGCTCTCCATGGAGGCCCTCACCTCTGGATACTGGAGGCCTGCTCTCCACAACGCCCTCCCGCTGACTCAGCAGAGCGGGACGCTGTGCGCTGACACGTGCACACACATGCACACACAGGCACTCGTCCCTGCTCACCCTCGGAGATGCCGGGCTCCTCCTGGTCCACGCCACCACCCACAGGTGCGCAGGCGGGCGGGGTACCTCACCGCCAGGCTTTTCCTGACAGAAACACACAGGCTCTGTCCATGAGGCAGGAGGTGATGAAGTTGATTCTTGTACACCCTTCCCTGAGCGGTCTTCTGCACCCACAAAACCAGCCCAGGAGAACCTGGGCTGAGGTCTCCCTGGTCTCTCACTTCCTCTACAAACCCTAAGTGCCCAGCAGGCTCAGGGCGCCATCCCGCACACACGTCAGCAAGAGGCTGGCGGACCCTGCATCTCTGCTCACCAAGCTGCAAGCAGGCAGTGATTGAGGCAAATTTAGGGGTAGGAGCGTCGATAAAACATAAGGCCTCCAGTTAAACCTGAATTTTAAATAGTGAATAATTTTTTATATAAGCAATAATTTTTGATATATGCAATGTTTGAGACATACTTATACTGTAAAATTATTCCTTGTTTACCTGAAATTGGAATTTAATGTTGAATCTGGCAACCCCAAAAAGAAGCCAACCCCCACATCAGTCAGGGATGATCAGCAGCTGAGACTGGCATCCTGTGGCTCCTCCTGCCTGGCCCAGCTCAGCCCTGCAGGGCTGTGGTGGGGACAATAATAGGATCAGGAGAGGGTGCTGTGAGGATCAATGGAGCTTCCCTCCCAGGCGGACCCACGTCCCCTCCTGAAGAATTGGACTTCCTTTTCAAGATGCCAGCCTCTGGGTGGGCCATGCAAAGAACAGCCTTCATTTGGTTCCTGCCTGCATGCTTCTGAGGAGCCCTGGTTTGAGTCCAAACAGTGAATGGGAGACGCCCCCTAGAGGTGAGATGTGTGGGCTGCAAACCCCAGCTGGTGGTGGAGCCCATAGCTTGCCACTCCAGCTGGAGGTGTTTGTCAAGGTTCCCCAGGCACCTGGGAGAGGAGGCTCTCCAATGAAAAACGGCAAAGATGGGCCCTCGCTGGTTTGGCTCAGTGGATAGAACATCAGCCTGCGGACTGAAGGGTCCCGGGTTTGATTCCAGTCAAGGGCACATGCCCAGTTGTGGGCTCGGGTTGTGGGCTCGGTCCCCAGTGTGGGGCATGCAGGAGGCAGCTGATCAATGTTTCTCTCTCATCGATGTTTCTAACTCTCTACCCCTCTCCCTTCCTCCCTATAAAAAATCTATAATATATATATTTAAGGCAAAGATGGGTGGGAGTGAGCAGAGAGTGAACGTGGCCAAGGAGCAGGGACCCTAAGGTGTCCAGGCACAGTAAAGAGATAATAACGGAGGGCCGCCCTCCATTGAGCACTTCCTGCGTTGAGGAGCCTGTGTTCGCTTCTGCCTTGCGGCCAGCACTGAGTCAAGGCTCACTCTGGGCCAAGGCTAAGGTGACCAGACGTCCCGCTTTTGGCGGGACAGTCCTGATTTTCAACAATTTGTCCCGCGTCTCGAGGCGTTTTAAAAAAAGTCCCGATTTTTTTTTTTTGAAAGATTCTTTTAAATCTTTTGGACTTTTTTAAAACGCCGCGGGACGCGGGACAAATTGTTAAAAATCGGGCACCCGCCAGGCGGGACAGATCCCAGCTACCTGAGGGCTCCCAGGACAGCTGGAGGCCCTGGGCCCCCTCTCCTGCTGGAATGGTGGGGACTGCATCACCGGCAGCCCCTTCACAGAGGGGAAGCGAGGTCCAGGCCCGGCCCGCCGACCCCGCCTTGAGTCCGCGTGGCTGTCCCCGAGTCTACGCGGCCCAGGGGCGCGCTCAGCGGCGTGGCTCCAGCTGTTTACTCCCAACTGGATCGGCGCCCTGAGCAGACAGACGTGGGGCGGAACCCTCACAATACCCCGGGCTGCTCCTCCTCGGCCATGGCACGCAGAGGAAACGGAGGCTAAGAGGCTCGGTGCCTGGCGCGGTCGCACAGCTTGCAGGCGGCAGAGAGAGGAGATCCCCGAGCTCTACCCCCGAGTCCACAACCTTTGGGAGCCAGAGCGCCCTGCCCGCGGGTCCGGGCCAGGGCCCCCGGGCGTGGCCAGGGCCCCGGGGCGTGGCCAGGGCACCCGGGGCGTGGCCAGGGCAGCCGGGGCGTGGCCAGGGCACTCGGGGCGTGGCCTGGCGGGAATGGGCGGGGCGGGGCGGCCCGGGAGGCCTTGATTGGGTGCTGCTTTGATTCGTCCTGGGGCTGCTGCCTCCCAGCCCGCAGCCCCATCTTGGCCACGCCCCAGGGCAGGACTCCGCCCGGCCCGCCCCGCCCCGGCCGCGGTTTGGGCCCCGGCCCGGCCCTGCCTCGCCACGCCGGGGCGGACCGCAGTTAACTTGCTCCGGGGCCTCTCGGGGCCCCACCAGGCTTGGCCCCTGCCGCTGCCCGGGCTAACCCTCCGGGGCCACCGGCTTGGGCGTCTGCGTCAAGATCCTTCCCCGTCGCGCAGAAGCCGCTTTGTGCAGCGCTCGGACCAGAGGCGATAGAAGCCTGTAAAGCCCACACTGGCGGAATTGACTGTGGCCTGTTCTTATTTCTTAATCGCTTTATTGGGGTGTAATTTGCAATTCCGCCGTTTACATTCGACGGGGCTTACCCAGAGTTGTGCAGCGATCGCCCCAACCTAATTCAGAGCGCCACCATCCCTTTCCCCAAATCTCCATTTCCGGAGGCCCGCACTGCGTTACTCGGCCGCGCCGCCAGGGGGCGCCGCAGCGCGCGCCGGGACCCACCCTCCGCTGAGCCTGCGCCTGCGTGCTGAGCGCAGAGCACGCTCCCCGGCCAGTGCGCTTGCGCGGAGCCGTGCCCCGCCGCTCCCGCCGGGGGCTCGTCGCTGAGCCGGGCCATGGGGGAGGCCGAGGTGGGCGGCGGGGGCGCGGCGGGCGACAAGGGGCCGGGGGAGGCGGCCACCAGCCCCGCCGAGGAGACGGTGGTGTGGAGCCCGGAGGTGGAGGTGTGCCTCTTCCACGCCATGCTGGGCCACAAGCCCGTCGGTGAGCGGGCGCCGCGGACTGCGTGGGGGCGGGGCGAGCCGGCAACGGCCAGGGGCGCGCGCCGGGCGGAGCCCCCTCCCGCGGCCCTCCCGGTGCCGCGCCCGCCTCTGCCCTTCCTTACCCCTTCCCCACGACCCTGCCCTCGCCCCCTCCGACCTGAGCCCTCTCCGCAGGTGTGAACCGGCACTTCCACATGATCTGTATCAGGGACAAGTTCAGCCAGAACATCGGCAGGCAGGTGCCGTCCAAGGTCATCTGGGACCACCTGAGCACCATGTATGACATGCAGGCGCTGGTGAGCTGGGCCCCGCCCTCCCAGCCCCCCCAGACGGCGCTGGCGGCGCTGTCCCCCCCAGACTCCTCGGTCCGTCCTCAGAGCCTGCGAACTCGTGGGCACCTTCATTCAGCCAGGAAGCTCCGAGTGGGGCTAAAGCACAGACCTAGTGATGACAGCCGTTACCTGTGCAGAACCTCCTGGAGACTGGTGATCGGTGAAAGTCTCTCCAGGGAGGTAGCCCGGAGCCCAGGCCCCAGGGAGGGGGCCCTCACGCGGGCATTTGTCCTATGGGAGGTCCCAGGAGTGCTCCAGCAGGAAGTGCCCACATTCGGGTCAGGTTAAGGTGAATGTGGCGGCGTCTGTGAGAACCAGACAGGCAGGGCTTCAGGCCTCCTGGGACTCCCAGCTGTCCAGGTTACCCAGGTGGTCCCCACAGAGGAGCAGCAGGAGATCAGAGGAGGGCACCCACCTGGGGTTGAGGCACCTGGGGTCCAGGCAGGAGCCTACGCTGGGTGAGGGGAGGCTTGCCAGCCCCCGGCCTTTGTCCAGACCCTGTGCTGTCCCTTGCATCTTGTCGACCTCCGGCAAGTCCTTTGCCTCTGCTCGCCGTGAGTCACGGCTGTGCCCTGAGCTGGCTGCTGTTTTTGCACAACCCCTTTGAGGGTCCGCTGCTGCGATAGAGGGTCCTGGGGTGGCCTTGGGTACGGGCTGAGGCAGGCCTGCACTCAGCAAAGCTCCCATGTCTGACGTGTGGGGTCACGTGGACCGCAGGCTCTTCCCACTCTGACTTCAGGCTGCTGGGGGCGGGAAGTGGGACATGGAGATGAGAGCAGCAGAGCCTGGTGTCCTAGGGGAGACAGGCAGGCGGCTCTGAAGCCCAGACACTAGCGCAGGAGGCCGACATGACAGGCCCCGGAGACTGCAGGGTACACCCAGGGCTCTCTGCTCAGGACAGCAGCCCTCTCCCTCTTCCTGTCATGGCCTGTCGCTCAGGTATGAGCAAGACCTCAGGGATGGTACTGCCTAGACCCTTGTTAGCACAAGTCCCTGGACCCTCCCCCCCCCCCCCCCGAGTGGCCAGGGGTCCAGCGGCCAGAGATGCTGATCAGCACGGGGACAGTGTCACCTGAGATGTGCCTCAGGGCAGAGCCTCGGCAGCTGCCAGGCGCTCAGGGGCAGGGGCAGCCCAGCAGCCTGGAGACAGGGCGTGTGGGCTGTCTCCACGGTGACAGCGGGCCGCCTGGCTTGACATGGCTCCCATGTGGGTGGCGGTGGAAGCCCGTTTCCTGAATCCCCTCCCACCAACTCACCTTCCCTCATCCGGTGTTCCGTGTATCCGGTCCCTGTCCCTCCTGACGGGCAGGACAGGTGGGACCTGACAAGCCGTCGGGCCTCGGGCTCTGCTCTCCTCACCTCTTTCTGTAGCGTGGCTTTCCCAGCCCACACGCCCTGTCTCCAGGCTGCTGGGCTGCCCCTGCCCCTGAGCGCGTGGCAGCTGCCGAGGCTCTGCCCTGAGGCACATCTCAGGCGACACTGACTTCTCACCAAGACTCCTACCTGGCTGGCGCTGGAGCAGTGCCCTCCCGGTCGATGGCCTGCCCACCTCCGCAGCCTCAGGGCGACACTGTGCACTCACTGGGTGCTCCTGAGGTGGCTCTTACACGTTGTTAGTCACTTGCTAAAATCACGTCATCGTTTTTGTTCCTTAAAAAAACTAAACTTCCTATTTGCCATCAGCACGAGTCTGAGATTCTTCCTTTCCCGAATCCAGAGAGGAACTTCGTCCTCCCGGAAGAAATCATTCAGGAAGTCCGCGAAGGTGAGACTTGGACACGGTTAGGTTTGGGAATAGGGAAGGCGGGTGTGGGCCACGGGGGTGGTGAAGGAAGAGCGAGGCTCTCTGGCCGGTGCCGCTCGGCCCCCGGGTGGTCGGGAGCAGCCGCAGCCTGAGCCACCCGGTGGTGCCAGGCTTCGCACCTGGTGGCGTGGGCGCTCTGAAGGCAGCTGTCTCCCACAGGAAAAGTGACCATTGAAGAGGAAATGAAGGAGGAAATGAAGGAAGACATGGACCCCCACAATGGGGCTGATGATGGTGAGTGAGTAGCTTCTCCCGTCCCTCCACGGGGTCCCGCAGGGCGCAGCGCAGGTCCCAGCCTGTATTTCTAGCCCGTTGCAGCCACAGCTACTCTGTCTGGTCCAGCAGTTGAAAGGCAGCTTCCATCTGCTCGGGCAGGAGCCTCGCCGGGCATGGACATCGTGCATGTGGCCGACACCATGAATGAACCACAGGGCGGCCCCGGGCACCGGCGGGCCCAGGCAGGTGGACCCAGTGGGCAGAGCCGGAGGCCCCAGTACAGGACAAACTGAGTAGCAAAGCTGGCTCCCCCTGCAGCACAGGCGTGAGCGGCGGCCGGGCGGGTCCTGCGGCCTGAGTGCTGCTGCCCGAGGCCCCACGGTGGGCACACCCTCAGAAGGACCAGGTGCTCTGTGGGCCGGGCGGGCGCCCCCAGCTCAGGAGAAGCTTGTGGGTTCAGAGCGTCATAGATTCTATCTAATTCGTAGATACAGAATTTTCTAACTGAACAAGAAGAAGAAATAAAATTCTGGATATTCTGTTTTCAGCCAAATGATTTTGTTTCCCAGTTTTTTCATCTTCAGGAAGCTTGGGGAAAGCAACCGAAAAGTGCAGCAAAGACAGAGACAAGAACTCAGACTTGGGGGCCAAGGAAGGGGTGGACAAGCGCAAGCGCAGCCGAGTCACCGACAAGGTCCTGACGGCCAACAGCAACCCCTCCAGCCCCAGTGCTGCCAAGCGGCGCCGAACTTAGACACTCCTCAGAGAAGGGCTGGCAGGGGTCAGGTGCTTGGCCCTGCTGCCCGCCCTGGGCCCAGCAGCCTGTGGCACCCACACCCCCAGAAACAGGATCCCGGCTTCGGCGGAGTGTGCTGTGTCCGTTCCGCTGCTCTGTTCCCCAGCCTCCCGAGCTGCAGCTGCAGGCCCGAGAGACCTGGAGGAACGAGCAGCAATGCCGTGTCCCCGCCCGCCCAGGAGCACCGTCTTCCCACTGGGCCATCTGTCCATCTGTCCGTCCGTCCACTGCGCTTGCTCAAGTGACGGTGTCCTCAGGAGAAAGGCCACACAAGCCGCGTGCGGCAGCCCCTCCCTCAGCACCTGAGACACAGCTGGGTGCTTGGCCTCATTCACTTGTACTGTAACGATGTGTATAATGTGGTTGATATTTCACTATTTAATTTCTAAGAAGCCTATTTTACTAGTGTTTTATATGAAAAAATACTGCAGAAGTTAAAAACCTAGGTTGTATTTTTTCCAAGGTGTTTTGTTTTAAGGTAATGAGTGATGGGATAATTTTTGCTCAGTTTTTATATGCCAGAAACAGAGAATTTGTGGTTATTTTTGTATTACCGAGTAACTTGCACAGACCAAATGAGTGAGGGGAGGGAGGCCAGACAGGAGCTGATGGCCGGGCCAGGGGCCTGTGGAGCATTAAAGCACAGAAAGCAACCTGGGCTTGTGTGATTTTCATACCAAAAGCAGTTGCTTTGGCTACAGTAGGAAGTCTTTATTTTCCCAAGATTGATAACTAAGTGTACACTTAGATGTACTTGACTCACTTGATACAATGTGAGTCACGGGTGACAGGTGCGGAGTATGAGTGACTGACAGGCCCTCGGTGCCCGGGGCTGACTGCTGTGCCCAGCAGAAGTCCATCGAGTGATGGAGAGCCAGCCGGCACACTGGCAGCGGGCCACTGAATCCTGCCCACCCAGCAGCCTCCCACCGTCTGGGCGCAGGAAGTCAGAACGTGCTGCAGCCGGCCAGGACCCTGCGGAGAGGCCGCCCAGCTTCAGGTAGGAGGCTGGCCGCCAGACCCCTTCCTTGGGCCTTGATGCATTGCTGGCTCCCTGCCTCCCAGCAGGCCGACGGTGCTTGGCACAGTGTCCATACCAGGGTCTGCTAAGCCTGAGCCGCTGCTCTCAGCGTCCACCCTGCACTGTTACTGCAGCAGAAGCTTGCCCTCCGAGGCTTGGGGGCCCCATGGTGTGGTCAGCACCTTCCGTATGGAACAGGGATCTAGACGGAACCCAGGTGGTCGAGGCTGCCTACCCCACACCCTCGTGCCCCTGCCCTTGCCCAGTGATGCAGAGGTCTGCACAGCACACACCATGCTCCCAACTGTCCTCACAGCAGAGCAGGCAATAACTTCATGGAAGAGAGCAGCGGTCTGCCTTCTAGAGAGTTCTAGAACACATGCAGGGAGGTATGCCCCTTGGCCTCCCCCTCGCTGCCAGTGTCCACCACCCTCATTTAGTACCCATTCTGCCAGGTCCAGAGTTGTGATGCATGAGAGAAATCTGGGGTGGCACTTGGCACGAGAGGGGCTCCCATCTAGATTTCCTGGGAAACCCCACCTGGAACAGCGCCTTCAGGGGCCTCAGAGTTTGCTGGAAAAGCCCGTCAATAAACCTGCCTTGTTTCAGTTAACGTTTTACTGCATGTTAGAAGGGTGGGCAGGTGACCCGCTCCCCTGTCCTGAGCAGACACTGCCCTGCCCAGGGCTGCTCAGCTCTCTGTGAGTCAGTCCCAATGGCTGCCTGGGGTGTGTGCAGGCCAGCCTCCCAGGCATCTGGCACGTGATGTCTCCCAGCCGAGGGGTTCACTCTGTGACGTGGCACATCACCAGGTGGCATGGAAATTATCTGAACAACAATGGGAGGCGGCCTTAGAGACGAAGACCTACAGAAGAGAAAGAAGCACAGTCCTGCGACTCAGCGCTGCCAGCCAGGCGCCTCAGCGAGCAGCACTTTCTGGGGTCATGCAAGTGGGAACCAGGTGGTGTAGCCTCAGGGCTCCCTGCTCTGGCCCAGCCCCCCAAGGGGGATCCAGAAGGTCTGCGGGCTCCCAAGAAGTTTTGGACACTTACTGCAGCAGTGGGCACGCCCGCAAGGCTGGTTGAGTAGGGGGCAGACTTGGGCCAAATAACATGGCCGAAGCTGCTTTTTGCCCGAGGAAAGTGTTAGGGCAGGTCTAGCCTGATCCCGCCTCAGCCAGACTCCTACAAAGAGCCCTGCCAAGCACAGGGGGCAGCGTGAGGCCTGTGGATGTGGCCCTGGCGGGATGCTCTCGGCCACCTCACGCACCTGGGCAACAAGCCGCCTGGAGTGCTGTGCCCACGTGGCATCCCAGACCCCCAGCTGTTCTCACAGCGGAGTCTGTGGGGTGATTGGGTGTAGCCATCATTCATGAAGCAGCAGTCGGCAGTGCCTTAATAAAGAGGTCTACAGTCCTGGCCCTGGCAGGAGGCAGCAGTGTGCAAACTGAATGGTAGGCTGGGGTGGTGAAGGGACCTGCCAACCCCAAAGCTCCCAGATCAGCAAACCCGGAGTGACCCACAGCCCAGCACCCAAAGCCTCCATCAGAAAAGCCTCTCTACCCAGCGGCATAGCCAGGGTCCAATGCCCCTCGCCAGGCCTGTGGGCTGGCCCCACCGCCCAGGAAATCTACCCGGGAAATGCCCAGAGCTCCGTTCCTTCAGGGTGTCACTCTGTCCTGTTAGAAAGGGGAGCAGACAGCTCCGGCCAGGTGGGCTGTGCGGAGGTCGACCTGTCAGGGAGCCGTGGCTCCGGCACCAAGCAGGCCTCCCCTGAGCTTCTGGGCCATAGGAGTCTCTGTCCCCTCTCGGCTGCCATCAGCTGCGCGGTAGGAGGAGCGGCACAGGCAGCCAGACACCTCTCCGCTGGCGGCGGGGCCAGGACAGCCAGCGCCGCCCCCCACCCCCTGCAGGCTGGGTGTGCGCTCTCCGGTGGCCTCGGCACCCACAGGCCACTCTCCTCACCGCCTAGCCTGCACCGGCGGTATTGGCTGCTTTGCGATGACAACGTGATGCGGTCCTTCTAGGCGACCACTCCCAAGTTTCATCGCGTCACCCACTTTGCTGGAGCTCTTGTCACCCAGCAGACGTCAGAACCAAGGTTGCATAGGGGCCCACAGTCAGGGACATCGCAGCTGCAGGTAATTTTCACCTCCCAGCTCCTGGGTGCCGCCTGGGGCGCTGCTCACTCTCCTGCTGGCCTCCAAGGAGCAAACTGCAGCTGTGAGCCCCAGTGGAGGGAACACAGCGCCCTCTGTCCCACAGTCAGGAGCTTGGAGGTACATAGGTGGCTCCCCGCACACCAGCTGACACCGCAGGGCACCCTGGGGGGTAGATTCCTGGGGGGAGGGGGGGGCAGCTTCCAGGCAGTCCCCTCCCGGGGTATCCTCCGAGGGCATTCTCTGGGGGAAGGGACATCTGGGGAGGCACGTCCTTCAGGGGCCGTCCGCGGAGGGGAGCACCTGGGGAAACCCCGGTGGGAGGTGATCTGGAGGGATCTGGGGACAGGCACCCTCTGTGGACAGCCTCAGGGCTGTTCTTCACGGGGCTGGCATCTTGGGAGGGGGCACCCTGCAGGGGAGACGGTCTGGCCAGGGCAGGGGGTTTTGGATTGGGGCGGTCGGGCTGGCAGCCCCCGGCACGTGCTTCCAGGGCGGGTCCCGGGCGGGCGGAGGCCCCGCCCCCCGCCCCGCCCCCGCGCTTCCTCCGGTTTCACTTTCGCTTCCGGCGGAGCTTGTCCCGCCGCCACGGAGCATGGAGGACCCGGACCTCGACTCCACCTGGGAGGACGAGGACGAGGAGGAGGAGGACGGCGGGGGCCCGAGCGCCGGCGGCGACGACGACGATGGCGAGGCCGGCGCCCTGGGAGAGGCCGAGGACGAGGAGGAGGACGAGGAGGAGGACGAGGAGGCGCGGCCCAGCGCGCTGCAGGTGCAGCCCCGCACCCCCCCCCCCCCCCGCCCGGGAGACCGCACCCCGGGACCGTGAGCCCCGCACCCAGAATGGGAGCCAGGCCTGATCTGGGGAAAACTGCCCCTCCCCTCCCCCGGCCGGGAGTGGGGGAGACAGGGGCATCTCTGGAGACCCGACTTGGGGCCCAACTCCCTCTCCAGCATGCCCGTTCCCACCTGGTCCTCCTGCCCCCGCATAACCTGATGGACACCCTGGCTCTGCCCCTGCTTGCCGCCCCACCCCCACCGGACCCAGGCAGGAGGCTTTGCAGAGGGACCCAGGGCCACGCTAAGACAGTGCCCAGGACTGAATCTGTGTGGTGGTGACACTTCCTCAAAAGGATGCCCGGGCACATCCTTGACCTCCTCTCTGTCACGTCCACCTCCAGGCCCGTGGCTCAGTCTCCTAGATCCCAGCGCTCTGTGCGGGCCCCTCCACCGCCCTGCCTGCCCCCCAGCCTCCTGTGCCCTCAGGGAGCACCTGGCTGTTCCCACCCTCCCGCCCTTCACACCTGACCCTCCTGCTGTCCCTCTGGGCGGGGCTGGCCTTCCCCTCCTGGCATGGGAGCCGGGGTCCCCCCTGGCCCGGTGGTTACTTCTGGTTACCCTGTTACTTTTGTTGCCATCCAATACTTCGTCTTGCCACTGGTTACTTGTTAGCAGGGGCAGTTTGCCAGCGCTCACTGGGGTGTGGGGGCCGTTGCTCTGGCTGGGCCCAGGAGTTAGGGAGGATGGAAGCCGGAATGGTAGCCTCACCCTGTGTCCCAGTTGCTTTTGGATTAAAGCATCTTAACTGCGTGTCTAGAGAATCTAGAAACAGGTGGTCTCTGGGATGACTCTCGGACCAGCGAACGCTGGTTTTCAGGTTTAACGGAACGTCTTAAAGTGATCCATGCGAGGACCGAGAGGCTCCTGTGTCCCGGAAAGACAGCGGCCTAGGCGCACCCGTGTTTGGGCCAGGGACAAGTCCCCTGAGGAGGCGGGCTGGGCCGTGGTCGGGGTCATGGGCTTGGAGTCACCGGGCAGGAATCCGGTTCTGTCCCCAGCAGGTGTGGCAAGGGCTAGGTAGAGAATGCTGTGCTCCCACAGTTCCACAGCCTACGCTGCTGGAGGCCTGCTCTGGCGCCTTGCCCACCCTGGACGATGCCCTTGACCCTCTGACCCCTTCCCAGAGGACTCCACCCTGCAGTGCTGCCCCGTGTGGTGCCCGCTGGCCCAGGGGAAGGAGAAACAGAAACTGGTAGAGAAGTGGGAATGCACTGCAGAGTTCCGGTTTGTTCTCTGGCCCTTAGCCTGTAGGAAAGAACCTAACCAGCTGGCAGAGGGCAGCCTGGGCCCGGCTGGAGGTCAGACCGTTGAGGGGTCAAGTTGGGGAGGGGCTGGAGCCTGGAGCTGCAGTGGTGGACCTGGCCTCCCGACCCCTCCAGCACTTCTTGGCTCTTCCAGGTCCTGGGACCCAGCTGTCTCCCAGGCTGAGCTACCTCTGCCCTGCCCACCTCCCTCCCCCAGCCTCAGACAGTCTGAGCCCTGCCCGTGCCCCTGCCTTGTCATAGGTGGGTGGGCTGCACTTCCTTAGCTTCCTGCTCAGTCACCTCCCATCCTTCCCAGGACCCCAGGGTGCTGGGCCTGTGGAGACAGGGCTGCTGGTGTGGAGGGAAGCAAGGAGCCTCTGACGTGCTGCCAGGAGAGTGAGATCGGTGGGTGGGACAGGCGCCTGGGCTTTGGTCCTTCGTTTCTCCATCAGACCCTGTGACGAGCGTTTGGGCCCTCCTGGGGCTGGAAGCGGCAAGGCCTGTCCTTGGGCACAAGCCTGGTGGCTGTTTCCAGCCCGGTGCAAGGAGGAAGTGCAACAGGAGGCGGGTTTCCAGGGGAGGCATAACTGCAGCTGAGGGGCTGGCCAGCAAACAGAGGGGGAAGTGAAGCTGGAGATTAGAGGGCTGCCCCCAAGCATGTCCCCATGAGCCCAGGGGTGCTGAGGGCTGAGCAAGGGGCAGGCCTCACTCCAACCACTCTGGGCTCATCTGGTTTTATTGACATCTGGCCCAGGTCCTGCTGCCCTCACCAGGATGGGGCTCACGGGGAGGGGCGGTCTGCTTGCTGGCAGGCCTCTAGGAAGGGGGGCATCTCCCATGGGGTCTCATCCTCTCATTCTCTACCCAGTCTAGGAGGATGGGGTCCCTAAACTGGAGAGCCATGCAGGACACACGCAGGTACCGGCACCACTACCCGGTATGTAGCTGCCTGTCACACCCTTGAGCCCTCGCAGACCCCTGGGGCAAAACCCCGCCTTCCATTCCACCCGGATGAGGCCCCTCCGCCTCTGGGGCTTCAGCGCCCTTGCCTTTCCTAGGCGTCCTGGTGCCAGCTCTCGGCACAGCCACATGAGGCCCACACCGCCTGCCCCGCGGTGGTCTCCTGGGTCCTCAGCCCCTTGGGCTGCCTCTGGGTGCAGAAGTGACCTCCTAGCATGGCCACATGGGGGGGAGGAGGAGGAGGTCAGAGCAGGGTGCTGACCCTAGGGGTCCTCCCCAGCCTTCAGGATGTCTGGCGGTTTCCAGGGGAGAGCAGATGTCCCTCCCCCAGGAGAGCTGTAATCTGAGGGCCCAGGGAGGCCAGATGTTTCTGATGATGTCACCGGCGCTCTCTTTGGCTCCTTAGGATTTGACGGAAGGGGACAGCAACGGTGACATGCCGAACCTGAGTTTCTACAGGAATGAGACCCCGTTCTTGCCCAATGGTGCGTGCTGGATGCCTGCAGCTGCCTCTGCTGTGGGGCCCCTCTCCCCTCTGCCTCTGGGTCTTCTGGGACCTGGGCTGCTGGGACCTGGGCTGGGACTGGGGCACTGGGGCCTATAGCTTTCAGGTAGCTCCACAGCGGCCCCCTGAGGCTACTGAGGGGACACCAGGGCCCCAACCTGCATCTTGGACCCCACAGGCAAACTTGCTGTGATGAACCAAGCAGTAAACACCCATGGCTTTGCAGGCCCCATGGTCTCTGTCACATCACCTGGCTCCTCTGCCGAGTGGGAAAGCCACGGGTCAACTAGGGAGGGAGTGTGGTCTCACATTTCTTTCTTTCTTTTTTTCTTTTTTTTTTTTTTTAAATATATTTTATTGATATTTTACAGAGAAGAAGAGAGAGGGATAGAGAGTTAGAAACATCGATGAGAGAGAATCATCAATCAGCTGCCTCTTGCACATCCCCCACTGGGGATGTGCCCACAACCAAGGTACATGCCCTTGACCGGAATCGAACCTGGGACCTTTCAGTCCGCAGACCGATGCTCTATCCACTGAGCCAAATTGGTTTTGGCATCACATTTCTAAATGGTTGGAAAAAAATTAAGGTAGAATAATATTTGTGACTTGAAAATTACATGAAATCCAAATTTCAGTGTCCATGAGTGGAGTTCATATGTGTGTGTGTGTGTGTGTGTGTGTGTGTGTGTCTAATAAAGAGGGACTATGCTAGTCGACCCTCATGCCATCGCAAAGATGGTGGCACTCACAGCCAATAAGGAGATAATATGCTAATTGATTGCCCAGTCCCCTCAGCCCTGCTGGGGCAGCAGGTGAATGGCAAGTCCGGGCTAGCCTGGGGATGGGTCCAGCCACTCCAAGCACCTGCTTCCGGAGTCCCCAGGCTCCCCAGCTGCTCAGGGCTGCCCGAGGCTCAGGTAACCAAGGCCAGCCGAGGTTTGAGCTGCCGGCAGTGGCAGCAGCAGAGGTGTGCTGGGCGTCACCTTCCTGATCGCCGGGTTGCCTCCCGCCCCTGAGGTCTCCTGGACTGTGAGAGGGGCAGGCCGGGCTGAGGGACACCCCCCCCTCCTCTCCAGTGCATGAATTTTCATGAACTGGGCCTCTAGTATATTCTTTAGAGAGAAAGGAAGAGGGAGATAGAAACATTAGTGATGAGAGAGAATCATTGACCATTGATTAGTTGCCTCCTGGCATATGCCCCAACTGGGAATTGAACTGTGACCTCCTGGTTCAATGGTTGATGCACAACTACTGAGCCACACCAGCTGGGCTGTGAGTGAAGTGTTATTGGAACTCGTGGTCTGTAGCTGTTTCCCTAGGATGCTACAGAAGCCATGTGGCCGCACAGCCCCAAATACTCACTGTCAGCCCCTTTGCAGAAACAGCGGCCGATGGAAGACCAGCTACGGGGTGGGGCTCAGCTGCAGGTTCTGTATGAGGACAGAGTCCTGATGACAAGCCTGGTACGAGGGGCAGTGAGGACCCTCTGGCAAAGACAGGTGCAAGCCGGGAGCACCTGTCCCCTCTCGGGCATAGTCCTCTCTCTGGCATCTGCTCTCAGGTTGCAGAGGCCGAGGGCCTAAATTGGGGGATTAAAATCACGTGAGATATACAATTCAAAGCTGCAAGAGGCCCAGGGTCCTCAAGAAAGGTGGGAGCTCTGATCAGTTTGGCTCACTGGGTAGAGCATTGGCCAGCAGACAGAAGGTCAAAGGTTTGAGTCTGTCTTGTCAGGAGTACCTACCTCCATAACAGGCTCAATCTCCATGCCAATCTGGGCATGTGCAGGAGGCAACCAGTTGATGTGTCTCTCTCACATCAATGTTTCTATCCCCCTTGCTTCCACTCTGTCTAAAAATCTGGGGGGAAATGCTTGGGTGAGGGTTTTTAAAAAAAGGTGGGAAGCAGGACCGAGCGAGCTTGAGTAGCTCCACGCTGACTCACTACTTGTCCCGTGGGCTCCCAGGCTGTCTCATTGAGGATATCCTTCAGAACTGGAAGAACGACTACGACCGCCTGGAGGACAACCATTCCTACATCCAGTGGTGAGAGAGGGCAGGCGGGGGCTCGGAGCACAGGTGGGCTCGGCATGTGGGGAGGGGCTGGGCCTCCTGGGGGGAGCTGGAGGGCCTGGCTCAGGCAAGCCTCTTCCTGCAGTGCCAGGCACACCTGGCCAGCACACTGCGTCCTTTCCGAAGCCCGATGCGGTGCTCCCCTCGGGCGCTGCAGGCTGGGGTTCTTAAGCTGCAGGCAGCCTCTGTGGCTGGCTGGGAGCGGAGGCTGCACGGGGCAGGAAGGCGGTGGATAGGCAGCCTGCCACACGTGGGCCCGGGGCAGCTAGTGCGGCCTGTCCTGCATGGGAGGGGCTCACCGTGGCGTGTGGCAGCCCTGCAAACAGTGTGTCTTTGAGGACGGTGCCCGGGGCCTCTCCTGGGCACAGGGACTTTCAGCATCCATGATGAGAAAGGGAGGACAGAGAATGAGAGGGACAGCTGACTGGCTGGGGCCAAGTGGCTAGCTGATGGCCCTTGCTGCTGTCGGCCACACGTGCCTGTCCTGTGCCCTGGTCTGTGATGCCCACCCTGGGCTCCCCCCCCCCCCCCCCCGGCTTCATCGTGAGAGCCTGTGACGTGGGGCCCAGCACCCCTCCTAGGGTTGAGTGCTGAGCCCAGCGGGTGGCGAGCTGCCCAGGCTGCTCAGGGCATTGCTGCATCTTCTCCCCCAGGCTGTTTCCTCTGCGGGAGCCAGGGGTGAACTGGCACGCCAAGCCCCTCACACAGCGGGAGATCAAGGTGAGCGAGCCTCTGGGGAGCCACTCGGAGGGTAGGAGCTAGAGGTCCCCCTAATCAGATCAGATCACCGTCCCTCTAACATGTTCCTCACCTCTGTCCGGGCACTCCTCACAGTCTTCCAGAGAAATCTCTATCTTGGGGCGTCTGGGGCAGGGGCTGGCCTTCGTCACCCCTTGTTGGGGCTGGAGCAGGGCCCCCAGAGGAACTGATGAGGAGCCACTGAGCATGTCAGGAAGAGCAGCGTGCTCCTAGGGATGGCGGGTGCCCGATGCCACCCTGGGAAATCTGAGCGCTTCCCAGCAGCTTGAGGAATTCCTTCCGGACTGAAGCCGACCCAGCCCTGTGACCTGGTGGGCTCAGAGCAGAGGTGGTTACATTAAGGAGCTATAGGGCCCCTCCACCCTGAGTTGTCCAGTCCCGGCCTCAAGATGATCAGACCTGAGGGAGGCCCCGTGCACTGATGTCTGTGGTGGCTCCTGAGCACGCGCTCGCTCGCTCTCTCTCTCTCTCTCTCTCTCTCTCTCTCTCTCTCGCTCTCTGGGCTGCTTTCCAGGCCTTTAAAAGCTCCAAGGAAGCTGGGGAGCGGTTTGTCCGGGCCTATGAGCTCATGCTGGGGTTCTACGGAATCGAGCTCGAGGACCGGGACACAGGCAAGGTGCGCCGAGCACAAAGCTACCAGAAGCGCTTTCAGAATCTCAACAGGTGAGGACCCCGCGGGGCAGCTGGCACAGCCGGTCTCAGGCTGAGAGGAGGCTGTGCTAGGGTTCTGGCAAGTGCCCTAGGAGCCCTTGTGGGAACAGGGACAAGCGACAGGCTGAGCACCCTGCTCCTTGCTTGTGTGTGTGTGTGTGGGGGGGGGGGGGGGGGAGGCTGCCTGATAGTGAGTGAGGGCCTAAAGGGAGGCCTACCACCTGCCGGGCTGGGTCAGCTTCCCAGCACTCCTGTGCCTGCTGAGAAGCCAGGCGAGGAGGGGTCTGGAGGAAGTGCAGGGGATGAATCACAACCTACAAAGCTCCCTCCAACCTTCCGCTAGTCTTGCGGGGGGAGGGATGGTCCGTGGGACCAAGGGGACAGTCACCCTCCAAGAGGAGGCCTCCTACACCCAGCCTGCCTCGGCTCCCGGAGGGGGTGCAGCCGGCGGGAAGGGGTGCAACCGGCGGGAGGGGAGCGGCCTCGCGGCCCGCCCAACGGCGCCTCCCCCGCAGGCACAGCCACAACAACCTCCGCCTCACGCGCATCCTCAAGTCGCTGGGCGAGCTGGGCCTGGAGCGCTACCAGGCGCCGCTGGTGCGCTTCTTCCTGGAGGAGACGCTGGTGCGCCGCGAGCTGCCGGCCGTGCGGCGGAGCGCGCTGGACTACTTCGTGTTCACCGTGCGCTGCCCGCGCCAGCGCCGCGCGCTGCTGCGCTTCGCCTGGGCGCACTTCCGGCCGCGCCGCCAGTTCGTCTGGGCGCCGCTCCACCGGCTGCGGGGGCCCCGGCCGCGCCCGCCGCTGCCCGCGGGCCCCGCGCCGGCCGAGGGGGAGGCGGGCCCCGCGGAGCGCCCCCTCCCGGAGCCCCCCCTCCCGGCGGGCGCGCCCGGGCGGACCTGCGGGCCGGAGCGGGGCGAGGGCTCGGAGGGCGCGGCCGCCGGGCCCCCGCCGCCGGGCCCGGAGCCCCGGGAGGAGGGCGCCCCCGAGAGGGACCTGGGAGAGGGGGCCGGGAGCCAGGGGGAGGAGGGGCCCGAGCCCGCGAGCCCCAAGGAGAGCAAGAAGAGGAAGCTGGAGCCGAACCGGCGGGAGCAGGCCCCGGGGGAGAGGGCCCCCCAGAGCGCCTCGGAGGTGGAGAAGATCGCGCTGAACCTGGAGGGCTGCGCCCTCAGCCAGGGCAGCGGGGCAGGCACCCAGGAAATGGGCAGCCAGGGGCCCGGGGAGACCGAGCCGCCCTGCCCCCCGCCCCCGCCGGCCAAGGTGGCTGACGAGGTGAGGAAACGCAGGAAAGTGGATCAGACGCCGGCCCCCCTCTGGCCCCCCGGCCCCCCGGGGCGCCCAGAGGCCGGGGTGGACGAGGAGGAGGCAGAAGACCAGGGGGTGCCGGACCAGGGGGCCCCCGGGAGCCCGGGTCCCTCTGAACCAGCACTGGATCCTGCACTGGACGAGGGGGCGCAGGCGGAGCTGGCGGCCGAGCCCCCGACGCCGTAGGCTGTGGGGCCAGCGGCCATCCCATTGCCAGGCGCCGGGCCCCGGGCCGGTCCCTCAGCGGAGGGAGCACCGGCCCCAGGGAAGGCCCGCGGACTCCGAGCCCTCACTGACCGCACCGCTGCCTCCCGCCTCCGGCCGCCAGCCCTTCTTTGTAAACAGCGCTGAGGGTCTGGGTGGGAGTGGGCTCTTTCTTAGTCCAGTGCCCAGGCCTTTTCTGAATAAATGCATTTGGTTTCGAGTGTTTTGGTGTGGACAGCGGTCCTGTGGGTGGCGAGGTGGACTGCCGGGCCGGAGGAAGGCTGGGCACAGGCAGTCCGCCAGCGGGAGGCAGTGTTCAGAGTGCCCAGGTCTAACCCCACCTTCGCCTGCCCCATTCTCGGTGCAGTGACCAGAGTGCAGTGCCGTGTGTTCTCTGTGGCTTCGTCCCTGCCCTGCCAGCCATGGCCCCCTGCTGACCCTCCACACCAAGGCAGCCTCCGGGACCTTGGCTCCTCCAACCTGGCATGGGCACAGTGCAAACCCTGCTATAGCAGGCCCACCCCCAGGGCACGGGAGCTCCCAGGCCTCCCCCTGAGGGGGGGAGGAGGGTGTTGGCAGAGGGCCACGCGCACTTGCCTCTGCACAAATGAAGGGATGACTCGCTGCTCCCTGAGGAAGGAGGGAGCTGCGGAGCGAGATCCGCCTCCTTAACATGAAAAGCATTGACAATTCGGGTCCAGGAAGGGCAGGGGGAGGGGCTCTGATGTGACAGACAAATTGGAAGTCATTTTGGAGGGAGAGGCCCTGCCTGAACTCTCCAACACCCACCTGGGGAGCGGCCCTCTGTGCACCACAGGGAGAGCGCTGATGTGGGTGTGGGACATCAGAACCGGGTCAGGGACTCCAGTGGTCCGGTCCTGGGTGAGAGCCTGTGGGGTTCAAGTTCAGATAGAGAAGATTGATGCCAGAAGGAAGCTCCACTGGAGTCACCCTTGGGTCTGCCCAGCAGTGGGGACCTAGGGAGAGCCAGACAGCTCCAGTACACTGACCCCCAAGCTCTGGCCCCTATCCCCAGGCCCAGGCCACTGCAGCTGGGCTTGGCGGCAGGGGCCGCTCTAGGGTGGGAAGGGGCTCGAGGGAAGGGTCTGCTGGGAGCTGGGGCTGGCGTGTTGCAGGCCGTAGAGCAGGATGCCAGATACCCGGTGGCTCCCAGAGGAGTTGGAGGCCAGCGGGGCTTCCTTGGGAGTGGAGGGGCAGCTGGGAGGGACTGAGGCTGGAGCTGGGGGGGACTGGTCTTGCTCCCCAGACCCCAGGCTTGGGGTGGCGGTGGAGCCTCCCCAGCCTGCTGCTGTCTGTAAGAGCCAGCATGGCCCGGTTCCACGGAGGGCGGGAGCTCAGCCTCTGGATTCTTCTGGATACACGTCGCCCCCCCCCCCAGCTGAGGGTGGCCCGGCCTGATGGGCTCCTTGTAGCCAGGTGCTTCCCTGAGGCTCCCTTTCATGGTTCACGCATCGCCTCTCATTTGAAGTCACATAGTCTCAAAAGTCCTGTGTCCCCACCTGGCTGGCGTGGCTCAGGGGTTGAGCATCGACCTATGAACCAGGAGGTCATGGTTCAATTCCCGAGCAGGGCATATTGATCCCTAGTGTGGGGCATGCAGGATGCAGTCAATGATTCTCTCTCATTGGTATTTCTCTCTCCCTTCCTCTCTGAAATCAATAAAATTTCATATTTAAAAGTGTATTTGTTAAAAAGTCCTGCGTTCCCAGATGTGGAAATGAAGCTGACACAGTATGCAATGACCTCTAAATGTTCAAGTATCTTGGGGCGGGCCTGTAGGTGCCCCTAGGTTGGCCATGGAGGCCACCTGGCCCCAGGCGCTGCCCTTTCCCCTCCCAGAGTGAGTAATCAGTTTGCCAAATCCAGGGGCCCCTGAGCTGCCAGGGGCTTGTGGGAAACGGAGCACCTGCCTCAGCCTTAGAGCCCCTTTCATCACCGCTGGCTCAGGCCTCAGGTGGTCTTTCCATTCGGCCAGAGCCACCACTTTGCTCTCCTTTGGGATGAGGGGTGCCTTTGCCAGCCATGGCTCATGAGGATGGACCATACAGTGTAAAGTTTGGGGTAAGTCCCAGAAGCAAGAGGTATCCCCAGCCTGGCAGGCGTGGCCCTAGACTTTTGCCCATGGTGGGGCACATGGGGGGCTGGTCTGAACCCTGCACAGGGCACTCACCTTCTCTGGGGTCTTCCTGGGCCTCGGCAGCCCGGGGCCCACGCAGGGCCTGGGGAGGGCAGGCAGCTTCCGCACTCCGTCTCTCAGATTAAAGGGGCCCCTTCCCCCAGGAGCCCTCAGCGCGGGGAGAAGAGAGTGTCTTTCTCTGTCTCTAAAAGGTGTATGTGTCTAACTCGCCGGTCCGGGGTAATTTTAACTCAGAGGCTGACCAAAAACATGCTACTGGCTGCTCCCAGCCCAGCCTTCCTCCCGCAGCCTGGACTGGGAGGCTCCAGTGGCGGCGCGGAAGCCCCTGCCCACCTTGGTGGGCCCCGCTGAATGGGGGGTTTGTGTGCAGCCAGAGGGGCGGGAACTGGCGACCTGCCCACCACCTGCCCCGCCCTCCAAACGGGAGCCCCAGAGCCCCTGGCCGCGCCTCCAGCGCCACTCACAGCGCACCAGCCATGGCCGGAGCCCCCGCGCTGGCCCTGCTCCTGCTCGGGCCGCTCCTGGCCGGGCAGCTCCTGCCCGGGACCGAGGCGCAGGTGAGCACGGGGCGCAGGAGAGCTGGGCTCGCCCCGGTGCCTGGGTTGGGGGACCAGGGCTCTGATGTCAGACACGGAGCAGGGCAGCCTGGGGGCCGTCCCCCACCTCAGCCGCCTGGGCCAGCCAGTGAGTGAGCCTGGGACGTGGGGAATGGCACAGCCCTGTCGCGGCTACCAGGCTGAGCCCACCAGCACCGGACTCCTCCGCGTGAGCCCCGGAGGCTGCTGGCCCTCCCAGGCTAGGGTGCCGCCACCGCCAGAGACCACAAAGTGGCCTTTGTTCCCGGCTCCCTGCGGCGGGCACAGCCATTCCTGGCTGCACAGATGAGGCAGTAGACAGTGGCGGGGGCGGGGGCATCGCTGAAGCCAGTGGGGTCATGAGCCCCGTGCCAGGCCCCAGTGCTGCTCGACCCTGGGAAGAAGGGACACTCCATCGGACTGACCCAAGCGCCAACCAGGGGACCCACCTCAGGGGGAGGGATGGAAAGGCCCAGGTGTTTAGTGACATTTCTCCGTTTCAGAAAGTGGGACCTCGGGGTCCTCCTGGCCCCCAAGGGCCACCTGGAAAGCCGGGCAAAGATGGCGTTGATGTGAGTTCGGGGCACGGGGAGGGCCCAGGAGGGTTCTGTGGGGTTCTAGCTCTGCTCCAACCTTTACAGAACCCTGGGCAGGCTGGGTGAGGGTGGGCGATGAGCCAGACCCTGGTGGGATATGAAACAAAGACGATCCTTGTTCCTACCTGGGACACACCCCACGGGACTCCATGGGGGGGGGGGCTGCATGGTGGTCTTTAGACTGGAAATGTGGGCACTGAGGTGTGTGTCTGGGTCCCCAGGGTCTGTGCTCCTGTACGCTGGGGGCTGGTGTGGAAGTGCAGGGCCTGAGCCTCTTCGTGGGTCCGGGTGGGGCTGCTGGGGCTGAAGCCAGCCTTGGAGGGGCTTGGCCTGCACTGCATCCCTGCTAGGTGCCCGGGCCAGCAATATGGGGAGCAGCTGAAATCCTGCAGCCTGTCCCCCAGGGGCCGTCTGGGGTGAAAGCCCTCCATCCAGCCCCCTCCACGAACGGCAGGGGCCCCTCCAAGGCATTCCTCACCCATACTATCCCCTCTGAGTCCCCCAGGCCCTGCCTGGCCACAGGTGGCCCTGGGCCTCCCCCTCAGCCTGGACCCACACCTCTCCCGCCTGGCGGGGCACTTGGCACCCAGGGCTCCGGACCACGCCGATCGTTCCTCCTGAGGATCCATCCCTCACCCTGCCTGGAGCCTCGGTTAAAGGCGCTCAGGCCTGGAGGTCATGGCAGGGAGGCTGGGCTGCCTTCAGGCTGCAGGGTCTGGGGCTGCCCTGCTGGGCAGATTCGGGCAGCAGGCTCTCAGCGCTTCCTGCAGCTTCCAGCAGCGGAGGAGCTAGGCTTGTTGGAGCCATCCCCTTGGTCCTAGGGGTCATGGCTCTGAGCCCGCAAAGTGATCCCCAAAAGCAGTGTAGGCCATGTCCAGCCAGTCCCTCTCCCCAGTGCCTGCCTCAGCACCTGGCCCAGAGGGAGGCCCTCGGGGTGGATGACGGGGTGAGGGGCTCCGGGCTTGTCTTCTGGGCAGGGCCTCGGGCCCAGCACTGCTCCCGGGCAGGGTCTTCAGGGACGTTGGTCACGGAAGGTGTCCCCCTCTGCAGGGAGAAGCTGGTCCGCCGGGTCTGCCGGGGCCCCCGGTGAGTGTCCTGGCTGTGGTGGGGGAGGGGTGGCCCATTCCAGCCTGGAGGGGAGGGTGGGCCTAAAACAGAGGGGACATTGACACCCCTTCCCACCACACTGGGCTGGGTTAGAGCAGGGCTGAGCCGGAAGGGGCGGGAGGAGGGTGTGTGCAGTCTGTGGGGCTCAGGAGGTGCTGGCTTGAAGCTTTCTTTGGGCCAGTGCCCGCGGGAGGAATGCAGCCCAGGGAGGTTGGCTAGAGGCCCCTGTGAGCCCCAGAGCTGTGGGGGCCCGAACTGAGGGTCCCACAGTCAGCCTGCGGCCAGAGCGGCTGACGTGTCCAGGTGGAGGTTCTGAAGATGTGGGCAAGTCAGGGTCCTCGAGAGAGGGATGCCCTCCTGGGCCAGTGCTGGGTGGGTCTGCAGCACACGGGCAGGGCCGGCCCCTCTTGCCTGCAGAGGGTGCCCGAACTGGGAAACACTTGATTTCTTGGTGAGGCCAAGGCTCCCCACTGGACCCTTCCCGACACCTCTGCCCTTTCCCCACAGGGACCAAAGGGGGCCGCGGGGAAGCCGGGGAAGCCAGGA